CTACCATTGGTCTTTGATGATGGTGACGTACCTATGGGGTTTTGGTGTGGATGTCCTTTCTATTTGTTAGTTTTCCTTCTAACAGTCAGGACCCTAAGCTGCAGGTCTGTTGGAGTTTGCTGGAAGTCCACTCCAGACCCTGTTTGCCTAGGTATCACCAGTGGAGGCTGCAGAACAGCGAATGTTGCAGAACAGCAAATGTTGCTGCCTGATCGTTCCTCTGGAAGCTTCGTCTCAGAGGTGTACCCGGCCGTGTGGGGTGTCAGTCTGCCCCTACTGGGGGGTGCCTCCCAGTTAGGCTACTCGGGATTCAGGGACCCACTTGAGGAGCCAGTCTGTCCATTCTCAGATCTCAGACTCCATGCTGGGAGAACCACTACTCTCTTCAAAGCTGTCAGACAGGGACATTTAAGTCTGCAGAAGTTTCTGCTGCCTTTTGTTCAGCTATGCCCTGCTCCCAGAGGTGGAGTCTACAGAGGCAGGCAGGCATCCTTGAGCTGTGGTGGGTTCCACCCAGTTCGAGCTTCCTGGCCGCTTTGTTTACCTACACAAGCCTCAGCAATGTCGGGCGCCCCTCCCCCAGCCACTTTGCAATTCAATCTCAGACTGCTGTGCTAGCAATGAGTGAGGCTCCATGGGTTGGGACCCTCTGAGCCAGGCACGGGATATAATCTCCTGGTGTGCCGTTTTCTAAGACCATTGGAAAAGCGCAGTATTAGGGTGGGAGTGACCCGATTTTCCAGGTGCTGTCTGTCTCAGCTTCCCTTGGCTAGGAAAGGGAATTCCCTGACCCCTTGTGCTTCCTGGGTGAGGTGATGCCTAACCCTGCTTTGGTTCACGCTTGGTGGGCTACACCCACTGTACTGCACCCACTGTCCGACAAGCCCCCATGAGATGAACCTGGTAGCTCAGATGGAAATGCAGAAGTCACCCATCTTCTGTGTCGCTCACGCTGGAAGCTGTAGACTGGAGCTGTTCCTATTTGGCCATCTTGGAACCGCATGCCTACATTCCTAAAAATGGATTTTACAAAGAAGTGCACAGATGGGCTCAGGAGAAGGTTTGGGAACTTGAGTAAAGGTAGGTCAAGCAAACAATCCTTGTCAGTTATATGGATGAAGTGTCAAATAGGCCAAGTGTGGTGGCTCACGCCTGTCATCCCAGCACTTTGGGAGGCTGAGGTGGGCAGACACTTGAGATCAGGAGTTTGAAATCAGCCTGGCCAACATGGTGAAACCCCATCTCTACTAAAAATACAAAAATTAGCTGGGCATGGTAGTGCACACCTGTAATCCCAGCTACTAGGGAAGCTGAGGTAGGAGAATTGCCTGAACCCTGGAGGTTACAGTGAGCCAAGATTGCACCACTGCGCTCCAGCCTGGGTAACAGAGGAAGACTCCATCTCGGAAGGAAAAAAGAAAAAGAAAAGAGTCAAATAAATCTCAAATATTTGAAGACATTTATTCTGAGACAAATATGAGTGACTGGCCAGGCATGGTGTCTCATGCCTATAATCTCAGCACTTTAGAAGGCCTAGATGGGAGGATAACTCGAGTGCAGGAGTTTGAGACCAGCCTGGGCAACATAGTCAAACATCATCTCTACAAAAAAAATAAGCAAAGTTAGCTAGGCATGGTGGTGCATGCATGTAGTCCTAGCTACTCAGGTGGCTGAGGTGGGAGGATCACTTGAGTCCAAGAAGTTGAAGCTGCAGTGAGCCAAGATCACACCACTGCTCTCCAGCCTGGGTGACAGAGCACGACCCTGTCTCAAAAACAAACAAACAAATATAAGTGACCGTTGGCCTGTGACACAGCCCTTGGGAGGTCCTGAGAACATGTGCCCTACAACTTGAGCTACAACTTGATTTTATACATTTTAGGGAGATATAAGACATTAGTCAATACCTGTAAGATGTACACTGGTTCGGTCCAGAAAGGTGGGACAACTGGGAGTGGGGTTTGGGGGTGGGTGTCTTCCAGGTCATACATTTTAGAAATTTAAAGGTTTTCTGATTGGCAATTGGTTTAAATAGTTATTACCTAAAGAACTGGAATCAATAGAAATAAATGTCTGGGTTATGATATGGGGTTGTAGAGACCAAGGCTTCATCATGCAGATAAGGCCTCCAGGTAGCAGGCTTCAGAGAGAATAGATTATAGATGTTTCTTATCAGACTTGGAGTCTGTTCTATCAGTCTTAAGGTCTCTATGTTTATGTTAATGCTGGTCAGCTGTGAGGCATGTCTGATACCCACCACCCTCCACTTCCCATCATAGCCTGAACTAGTTTTTCAGATTAATTTTGGAATGCCCTTGGCCAAGGGGAGGGTCCATCAGCCAGTTGTGGGCTTAGAATTTTATTTAGAATTTATTTTTGGTTTACAGTAAGAAAGTTGGATCTGGCCAGCCACAGTGGCTCATGTCTGTAATCCCAGCACTTTGAGAGGCTGAGACAGGTGGATCACCTGAGGTTGGAGTTTGAGACCAGCCTGACCAACATGGAGAAACCCCATCTCTACTGAAAATACAAAAGTAGCCAGGCATGGTGGCACATGCCTGCAATCCCACCTACTCAGGAGGCTGAGGCAGGAGAATCACTTGAACCCGGGAGGCAGAGATTGTGGGGTAAGCCAAGATCATGCCATTGCACTCCAGCCTGGGCAACAAGAGCAAAACTCCATTTCAAAAAAAAAAAGAAAGAAAGAAAAGAAAGAAAGAAAGTTGAATCTACCTTACATGGTGTGAGTTATGATGGATATCATCAGCCCCATAGTTCCACCCATGAGAAAAGCAACAAAAGGAGGCTGTTAGCTCAACCACTGTTTTGTTCACCCAAAGACTCAAACTGAAACATTTATCTCTTTCTCCTGCAGTAAAGGAAGTGGTGCATTTCATAAGACCAGTCTTCCTGTTGTTTTACAATAATGTGTCAACCTTAAACAAAGAGATTTAGAAAATATGATTACGTATGGAGTTTACTAGAGCTCAAAGATTGAAGATGGCCACTGAGGAGCAGATTTCAAGTTGCCCTGAATATACACTTCAATTAGCAGTCATAACAATGAGTTTTTAAACCAGATAAGAAGAGTCAGTTCCTAAATTATTTAGCAAGTATTTACATTAAAATAACTTAAACTACTGATTAGCTATACATTTTTCTTTGTATCACAAATTCTAGGAACGTGAAGATAATGGCTTAGGTAGCTAGTCAGGCATAAAATGTCTTTTAAACAATTGCCACAGGCACGGCATGGTGGCTCACACCTGTAATCCCAGCACTTTGGGAGGCTGAGGCAGGCAGACCATCTGAGATCAGGAGTTTGAGACAGCCTGGCCAACATGGTGAAACCCCATCTCTACTAAAAATACAAAAATTATCTGGGCATGGTGGCACATGCCTGTAGTTCCAGCTACTCAGGAGGCTGAGGCAGGAGAATCATTTGAATCCAGGAGGCGGAGGTTGCATTGAGCCGAGATCAAACCATTGCACTCCAGCCTGGGCAACAGAGTGAGACTCTGTCTCAAAAAACAAACAAAAAAAAATGCCCAACTGAAGTCCCACACTTATGTCTCTCTGGACCTGATAAATTCTGCATACCTCACAAAACTCAGACTACTCTTAGCTATTTTTCTTTTCTTATAGGCACACAAACAAATTAAAAGGCTTGGCCTGGTATGGGGGCTCACACCTGTAATCCCACCACTTTGGGAGGCCAAGGTGAGCAGATCACTTGAAGTAAGGAGTTCGAGACCAGCCTGTCCAATATTGTGAAACTCTGTCTCTACTAAAAATACAAAAATTAGCCAGGCATGGTGACATGGGCCTGTAATCCAAGCTACTTGGGAGGCTAAGGCACGACAATTGCTTAAACCCAGGAGGTGAAGGTTGCAGTGAGCAGAGATTGCACCACTACACTCCAGCCTGGGCGACAAAGTGAGACTCTATCTCCAAAAAAAAAGTAAAAGACTTAATTTTTTTTCTGTGGAAATAAAGGAAGACACAGCTCTGACCTCTCCTTTTTCTTTCAGAATTTAATCCTCTGTCCTTTTCAAATGTGTGTTACATCTTTATAATGGCTAAATAAACCTCTTCTCAGTCTCACAATTTAGGACCTGGGAGCCATGTTTCAAAATGTGTATTCAAGGGAGATAGCTCTCATAGTTCTTCTGGGAGGGTAAGAACTGAATTTTGGTGGGCAGGGTGCCTTGGCCCAATCTTCAAAACTATATCCTCATGAAAAGATTTGAGGAGTTTGCTTCTTCTCATTTGGATAAAACCAATTAGCTAACACTGGTGGTCCTCCTAACAATTATGCTAAACTTAAGATGAACTATATGTGACAAAATATGCTGTCAAGTTTTCTTACTTGAAGCCTATTTTTGTTTATCTTGAAAACATGTTTGTAATGGGTTGCATCTGCTTGTCAATATAAACGGGTGAGATTCCTTGTGTCTTTTTAATCTCTTAATGAGTTGCCTATGATGTCCATCACATTGTGGTTTAATGTTCATTCAATAATAAAACTTTTCTATATCTACTACCATTGTGGAGAGGATTTGGGGGTTGGGAAGTTTTTTTCGTTTGTTTGTTTGTTTGTTTTGCATTCAAAATCTTTTTAATAAGAGAGTAGGATCCAGGGTTAGTTTTTGTAGCCTGGGCTGACCAGTTGGGCTCTGGCACGCTCGAACTTCTGGCCCTTGGAGCAGAGGTAGGCTTTGGTGTGGCTGTGCGGGGTTCCTGGGGCCTTGCCCAGATGCCCTTGCGAGGACCGGAGAGCAGGACAGTGCCACAGCCCTTGGGGGAGTCCAGGGCCAGCTGGTCGAAAGTGAGGATCTTGCCCCCTGCCCTGAGGATGCGGCTGTGGGCCCGGCTGGTCACGCGCAGTGCAGATACCTTCAGTTTGGGGACCTCCTGAATCTGCATGTCATCCGTTATGGTCCCCACAACCACGGCCATTTTGTTTTCCC